AATATATTATAATATAATATAACATAATATATTATAATATAATATATTATAATATATTATAATATAATATATTATAATATAATATATTATAATATAATATAACATAATATAATATAATAATATTAACACAATGTGGTTTTAATACTTTAATAAATGATGTGAGGTAAACACGGATACTAGCAGCGAGCTAAGCTAACTGATTTGTAGTATTTCAGGTTCTTTAATCGAACTACAAGAATAAAAACTACAAGCAGAGTTTCCGTCAGAGTCTGAGGGTTTGAAAGTGTCGATGTTATAAACTATTTGCACAGATTTATGTAGTTTTACCTTCAGGAGGAGCTGCAAGCTGCTGAAGTGTTCGCTGGAGACAGCGGCAGCCATGTTGGCGTGTGACGTCAGGTGATGGTCATGTGACACGCGGCGCTACTGCTCATGGGAAATGGAGTAAGAAAGCTAAAACAGGAAGATAATACAAATAAACTAAAGAAATAATAAACTAAAATAACGATGCAAATTCTTTTATGTAATTTAACACAAACAACATTAAAAATACTATAAAATATTATAAATATATGATAAATATGACAGAAATACAGAAGTAAAAGAGTTTACGAGCATAGAGCACGTGCAGATAATTAAAATAAACATATTTAAAACATTTTGGTGTAAAGAAATGTACAAAACATGAGAAAAAAATACAAATGGGCTAATAATTAATATGTATAACAGCTCATGTCATAAATCCGATATTGTTACCAACACCTGAAAGCAGCAGCCTACAAAAACAGCAATAACTGATAAAATAATATATAATAAATAATAATAAACTAAACTAAAATTATACATTTTATGAAAATAAAACACTGTTAACAGCAGATTATATAGGATGAAACATTAATCCCAATAAAGAGTCATTGATTATTAGTAAAATAAAAACTATAAAACTCCTCTAAAAAAAGATGAATAACAATATAAATTTACTTTAATGATAATAACAATAAACCCTATCTTAATACTAATATGCTAATCAATTATAGGTTATGAAAATAAATAAATACGTTATAATAATAATAATAACATCAATTGGGTAAAAATGAACATATGTTAAAGTAAATATAAATGAATAAATCTAAATAAATTATAATAGTAATAATAATAATGATAGATGTAAATTGTGTAAAATATATTTTAGTTTAATTAAAATAAATATAAATGAATAATTTAATATTAGTGAAAATAAAAAAAGCCTATATAAGTCTATATTAATGATAAATATTATTAAACCTTCACAATAGTTCATTGATTATAAACCCGGCGGGTCCCGGTGGCTCCGGCCGGCGGGGCGGTGCAGTCAGTGTCTGCGGGGGACGGAGCACCTCAGACGGGATGGAGGCTGTCGGTACGCGGCGGTAGCTCCGCGGATCTCCGGCCGGCCGCTGTGTGTCTGTCCCCGCTCAGGATGTCTGTGTCCGGGATGAAGAAGCAGCTCCACAAAGCCAGCCAGGTAAACCGGGACGACCCGGGTCGAACCGGACTGATGCTTTATACCGTCGGTGGTTTTACTGCGACACAGGGCCTGCTGCACACACCAGTATCGATCCATCACACCACTATTGATCTATCAGTTCAATATCGATCCATCAGATCAGAAAGACTCAATGATCAACAACAACAACGATTAATGTTTACACCGGAAACATTTACATCTGATATCTGATGTTAGACTGTAGACCACTGCACTACTACTGCTAATACTGTTATTATTATTACTAATACTATTACTATTATTATTATTATTACTAAAATAACTGGAAATGGAGCTCATTTTTCTACTTTATTGACTGATGTGTAGTTTATTATATATTTAGTAAAACAAATACCTCAAATTACACTTTAAGTGCAGTAATAGAGTATAAATGTACCTAAATGTAAGAGAGGCTGGAGGAATATAAAGTATGAAATCAGTTTAATGTTGATGATGGAATATTGTGTTTTTTATCTCTGGTTTTATTTTGTGTGAAATGTAAAAACATTGTTTTCCACTTTATACTCACTCACTGCTGTAATTGAGTACTTATGTAACCTCTCCTACTCAAACATAATTAATATAACTTCTGTTTGTGCAGCTGCTGAACGAGAGGCTGATGGGAGCTGAAGGGACGAAGATGGACGAAGACTTCCTGAAGATGGAGAAGGTAAAACTGGGAATGCTACACTGGAATCTGGAATCTGCTCTGAACTGATGATACAAACTGTCTGTCTGTCTGTCTGTCTGCCTGTCTGCCTGTCTGTCTGTCAGAGCGTTGTAGTCATCCACTCTCTGCTGGTTGAGCTGCTGTCCAGAACTACAGAGTTCCTCCAGCCGAACCCAGGTACTGACAGTGAACACATCACGTTGTTTCACACACACCAGACAGACTGTAGCTGACATTAATATAATAATTAATAAGATCAAAGTAAAAGGCAGAACTGCTGATAGTTCTGCTACTGGAACAGGAAGTGAATGTTGTGTCTTCTCAGCTGACAGAGCCAAACTGAGCATGCTCAACACGATGTCCAGGATTCGAGGACAGGGGAAGTCGGTGGGTTACCCGCAGACAGAGGGCATGCTGGGAGACTGTATGTTGCACTACGGCCAGGAGCTCGGAGCTGCTTCTGAATTTGGTACGATGTCAGTTTCCACAGGGCCAGTACGGATAAGAGCTGTGTTTCCATGGTAACCATCAGGACCATGTGACATTAAACACGGCGAACAATGAGAAAAGTTTTATTCTGTAAATGTTTGTCACATTTCTGGTTGGACCTTTAACTTTTGTTCTTTATCTTAACATTTAAATACAAAATATAGTAAAGTCCATCTGGAGTTCTGTCATTGTTGTTTTTGTAGAGGAATAAATTCAACTATTTAACAAGTTCAGCAATCTGCGCACAGAATGTACAAAATGTTTATTTTTGACTCTCTGCTTTTTTCCTATTTTCCTGTTTGTTCATCCTGCCCTCGTCCTCTGGTTCCTCTCCTGGTTCCTCTCCTGGTTGGTCTCCTGTTCGGTCACCTGGTTCCTCTCCTGGTTCCTCTCCTGGTACCTCTCCTGGTTCTTCTCTTGGTACCTCTCCTGGTTCTTCTCCTGGTCCTCTGGTTCCTCTCCTGGTTCCTCACCTGGTTGGTCCTCTGGTTCCTCTCCTGGTTCCTCTCCCGGTTCTTCCTCCGGTGGTTCAGGTGGCGCTCTGTCTGGTGTGGGTGAAGCTCTGCAGCAGGTTGCTCAGGCCAGGGACACTCTGGACATCAACGTCAAACGCAGCTTCATCGACCCACTGCAGGACCTCAATGACACGGAGCTGAAGGAGATCAGGGTGAGAGGCTCAACACGAGCTCATGTTCATCAGAAACACAGAGACACAAAACTGATGTTAATCAAAATCAAAGTCCAACTTTAACAGAAACTGCTCAGTAACGGCGTCTGTGTCTCAGATCTCTGCTCTGATTGGGTCCTCAGTACCAGCTGAAGAAGCTGAACGGTCGTCGGCTGGACTTCGACTACAAGAGGAGACGAAGAGGGAAAGTCCCGGCGGAGGAGGTCCGACAGGCCTGGGACAAGTTCATCACATCCAAAGAGCTGGCAGAGAGGAGCATGTTCGTCCTGCTGCAGAACGATGTGAGTCTGACGATGGAAACAACAAGAATAGAAACATAAAACATAAAAGTATTTGATGACTTATCCTGCACTCGGGGGCGTTTACTAATGCTCCCTCAGTACTGGACTCCCTGTGTATTGTTGTTGTTCTGTGAAGATATTTAAAGGTAAATATGATGGAGTAATAATTAACTGATTAATATATGAATGATTATTTCTCTCATGCTCCATTAACAGATCCACACTGTCGTCCTCCTACAGGTGGATCAGCTCAGTCGTCTGGCTGCCCTGGTCGCCGCGCTGTTGGACTTTCACCGCAACGCCCACCGCATCCTCCTGGGTCTCCATGGCAACCTGCAGGCAAGGTGAGACCGTGTTCAGTCACATCTCTCCGGAGGGAAGAGCTCAGCAAACCCCTCCAGCAATCTGTCCGTTCGTTATCAGTACAGAGTTTATAAAGGTTCCCAAACCGGTAGCAGATCCTTCGGTTAATCTATCAGATTATAGAACTGAACATTTTGGTTTGTTGTTGGCTATAAAAAAGTAAATGTAGCCTCACAGAGCCGTCGACCCTCAGTCTAGCTTTAATAATAATTCACACAGTTTTCTGTATGTGTTGGAGAACAGGCTGACGGCTGCCAGCAACAGACCAGAGCGACGATTCAGACCCAAAAAGATCCGGATCAGGAGTGAACACAACGGCAGCATTGGATTTTACCACCAGCCGGCAGTCACATCTACGGTTTCCTCAGGTTACTCTGGTTTCAAATATCATCTCACTCTCACATTTCTCTGGAATTAAATATATAATTGGGTCATTTTCTGTTATATTTCTACAACAGGAGAGCAGTTCACAGCATTACCGTCCAGACCCGGCAGTCCCATCTCCTGTTACAGTAAGAAAACATCAAAACAACCACTGACAGGTGGCACAGAGGGGAGATTTATTCTTTACAGGAAGTCTTCAAACAGGATGTTTCAGTTTTACAAGACAAAAGACTTCAAGCCAAGAATTGTGATGCATTTATGGTGAAACACCTCAGACAGGGTTAGCATTAGCACCTTAGAGGGCACTGTTGGTATTTAATAATTATAATAGTTTGAACCTAATAGTCTCTGCTAACAGTAAATATAACAATGACTCGATCCCTCTCTCTCTCTCTCTCTCTCTCTCTCTCTCTCTCTCTAGGTGTCTCTCGTCCAGCCGACAGTAAGCTGGTCCTGGATCAGCCCTGTTGCCGGGCGCTGTACTCCTTCCACCCGAACCACGAGGGCGAGCTGGACTTCAGCGAAGGCGACGTCATCATCCTAACCAATCAGGTCGACGGCAACTGGTACGAGGGCACGCTCGGCGGCCAGTCGGGACTGTTCCCCGTCAGCTACGTGGACGTGCTGGTGCCTCTGCCGTTACCATGATGACAAAACATCCACGGACTCCACGCCAAACATAGTACACGTTGGTCTGAGTGTGCTTTCAGTGATATGCAACTTTTCGGCTTCTTATTTGCACTTTTTCACACGCGACTCAGCGGGCTGCGAGTCGGTTTCACAGGAAAGGAAGGCCATAGTTTCTACTGGAGAGCACTTTAGTTCCTGATCTCATGTTAGACATTAAAACACCAGCTGCTACAGAGCTCAGTCAGTAAAACAAGTGTGTGTTTCCCTTTAAGACTTTTAGCTTCTTTTCGAGCACAAAACTGCTCTTGCCTTTCACGTTTCTATTTCTGAACTTAAACACATGCAGCCAAATAAGATAGATCGACTGTTTTAGAGCACCATCAGGGTGCAACCACTAGAATGTTTCATGATAAATATCAGTGTAAGTTTACTTTATATTTAAGGCTACCAGTGTCGTGGGTGGTACTGTGTGACAGCTGTGATCAGTGTCGTTCACTCTGCATGTACTTAAAGCAAACTTATTGTATTGTCTGCACTTTATCTGAAGCTTTATGAGACTCAGGCCAGGAAATGCTTTTTTATGACTTAAAGGTACATTATGTAATTTCTGCCACTAGGGGGTCGCTCACATTAAAACAATAATAAAAGAGGGAGTGGTTAAGTAGTGTGGGATCATGGTAGTCTTTTCCATCATTTTTAGACACCTAAAAGAAAAATAGTTTAAGTGTATACTATATTTCTCTCTTCAAATCCACCAGACTCCATTGACAAAAACAGCAATTTACCTCTCTGAACAGAAGTTTATGTTTCTATTTGTGTGTGTTATTGTGTTATTTTTACGTTTTGAACTTCAAGTGTGAAACATTAAGGAGGATCTATTGTCAGAGATGTAATATAATATTCATACGTATGTTTTTAAGTGTTTAATCACCTGAATATAAGAATCATTGTGTGTTTGTTA